TGCTTAGACGCATCAGAGCTATTTTGCATGAGGGGGACCTACACAATATTAGGCCGGTGGTTTTAATGCTGTGGCTGACCAGTGCATATACATGTAGGTATATGTATATGTGTGTGTGTATTTATATACTAAATAAACAAATGTATTAGGACACCTGACCGTTACACCAACAGGGACTTTCATGACAGTGGATTTTAAATACATAGATATTAACATGTAGTTGGTCCCCCCCCCTTTGCAGCTTCTACTCTTCTGGGAAGGTTTTCCCACATTCATCCAGTATTAATCCAGCATTTGTGAGGTCAGGCACTGATGTTGGACAAGAGGACTTGGCTCGCAATCTCCGTTCCAATTCACCCCAAAGCTTTTCAATGGGGTTGAGATCAGGACTCTGTGTGGACCATTCAAGGTCTTCCACACCAAACTCATCCAACCATGTCTTTATCTTTATGCACTGCGGCACAATTAGTAGTGTATTCTGGTTGTGTGCTGCCCTAAGCATGACAAAACTCAGACAACCCCCTTCCAAATTTCTCTTCCTGACAAACATGTCCTCACTGATACATGCACTGACATACCCAGCCATTGTCACACACACTGTTTAACAAACACCCACTTTCACTGAAACATACACATTCAGACATAATCACTAACAGACACATATACACTCATTGTCAGACACACATTCACTGACAGACACACACTGACACTTGCATGCATCTTAGTGATATCATATCCCAGCTCCTGCATCACTAAACTGCGCACGAGGGAGCTGAGCAGGAAGAGTTCAGGGGGAGAGTGCTCCCTCGCCACCAGCCTCCATCATCAGCAGATGCCAAACTCAGGGGGGCTGGCTCTTTGGCCCCCCAGGACAAGAGGCTGGCAAGGCATCTGCCAGGGTGATTGGAGACTTTTTTTGCCACCCCCCTGAAAGTGCTGCCGAAGGTAAATGCCCTGTCAGTCGCACGCTAAATACAGGGCTTGGCACCATAATGCTGGAATAGGAAATGGCCTTCCTCAAACTGTTCCCACAATGTTGTAAACATAGCTGTAGCGGAGAGGTAGTATAATTCACAGTATCTCCGCTAGTAGACAGGAACAGCATATAATAATCCAGGTAGCGTTATACAGATCCTTCCTTCCCAAGAACTAGACGACACAGGCTGGGAGTCAACTGAGGTTTTATTCACAAGCTCCAGTATTTATGTGGTTTCCCATGCAAGGGGTTTCCTTACTGACTTTACAGGGGTTGTAAAGTAGGGGACTACAGTAGGGGACCTGAAACTTATCCTTGCCATGTCTCCAGCACTGGGGGCTGGACTTAACCTGTGACTGTTCCTGTCAATCATGGTCCAGCTGTAAAGTATCATCTGATTAGCCAGGTATAAGAAACTGCCTCTCCGTGAGGGCAGTGTTAGTTCATTGACTCTGGTTCCTGTGTTGGTGTTTGTGATCCAGTGTTCTCCAGTCGGCTCCTGACCTTGGCTTTTTCTTATTGTGTGTCCTGACCTCTGGCATCCTCTGACTTTGGCTTACCCTCGTTTATCCTGACTTCTGGCACCCTCTGTCTTTTGGCTTACCCTTGACGATTCTCTTGCTTGTGTGAATTGCAGCAATATCCTGCACAGCCCCCGTGCACAGACTCACAGGCCAGTTGAATTCTTACCTGACCATCTTGGTCTGTGTTTAATTGCAAGGGTGACCATATATCTCTGCCTACCGGGCTCCCACCTCAGGTACACCGTTACACTTGGTATGCTGAAGCATGAAGATTTTCCTTTCATTGGAAGAAAGGGGCCTAACCCAACCACTGACAAAATTGCTCCAGACCACCAAACCTCCTCCACCAAACTTTACAGTTGGCACAATGTAGTCAAGCAGGTAATATTCTCCTGGCATCTTCCAAATCTAGACTTGCACATCAGACTACCAAACAAAGAAGCGTGATTTATAACTCCACAGAACACGTTTCCACTGCCGTAGAGTCCAGTGGTGGCATGCATTGCACCACTCAATCTGACACTTGACATTGTACTTGGTGATGTGAAGCTTGCATGAGCTGCTCAGCCATGAAACCCTGATCCATGAAACTCCTGCCGCACAATTTTTGTGCTGATATTAATACCAGAGGAAGTTTGGAGTCTAGCTATGGAATCTGCAGAGCATGCAGAATAGACATGTGAGGTCGCAGTAACACTTCTAGGAGGTGTAATTTGCAGCTGAGGTGGATGGCAGTGTGACTGCTGAGCTCTGCTATACTTAGGGCTTCTTTGATGTTTCTTGGGAGCCTAATCCTATCGATGGTGAACAAAAAGACCCAAGCGAACTTGGAAGCAACCCCAGTCACTACACCAGCGGCTGCTAAGTCTTTCTTGCAGAGGTACAAGGTGATGGACTACACAGGTCACACAGATACAGGCAAGATGGCACCGGATAGCAGCCCGCTGCAGAATTCCACTGTGTCAGAGGCGTCAATCAAAGGGTGCGGATCTCCAGGCATTATTAGCACAACTACCCTCAAAAACTGATTTGCTGAAATGCTGTCCAGCTTTGGGAAAAAGCTGCAGACACTGTGCACAGACATCCTAGAAGAGGAGGGGGAAGTCACAGCACTACAGAAGGTAGCAGTAGAAGAGTTACTCCAGACCCATAATAAAGCACTTCTACTCCTCCAGAAAAACTTAGATGGAAAATATAAGTAGGAGACACATGCTTTGGGTTCAAGGTGTGCCAGAACAGGATAATGGGGACAGGGAATTCTTCCTACTCTTCAACCAAATCCTGAACAGAGATGTGAAGTTGTTAAAATTAAATTTGATCATGCTCATAGAACACTTTGACCAGGAGCTCTTTCCCTGAACAATCTCAGTGATATAATATGTGAGATCCATAATTTTGCCTTGCAAGAGGAAATTCTACATAGAATCAGGCAACTACAAGAAACAACATATGAAGGTAACTGTGATCACTTACCAAGATATTTCACAAGCCACTCTATACATGAGAAGAACATTATACCCAGTTACCAAGGCTCTGAATGAACATAATATTAGATATAAATGGAACTTTTCTTTTGCCCTGACTTTGTTACATCAAGACAAGTTATTGTCCATCTCATCACCTGTACTCTAGCATTCTTTGGGACTTCCAACAGATAATGTGGAGGACTGGCCTGGCCTTTTTTTGAGCACTTGAAGCAATTGCTGCAATTGCCACACAAGTCCTAATGGCAAAGGATGCCAAAGAAATGCAGGAGACAAGCCTCTTCAGCCATTTTCACTTGGTGCCAAAACTCCATGATGATTATAATCATTGCATTAAAATTGCATTTATGTGTGGTTTATTACAGTTGTTTTGCCATGTTGTATATTGTAAATGATAAGTTAATGCTTTTGTGCCTTATTTAACCTGCATTAGGTATTAAGGTATTATGTAGGATTTTTGATGTATATATTTTTGATGTATGTATCTACCTTTATGCCCATAGGCTTGGAAATTCGAACTAGGGAATGAAAATCCATTCCATTTATATTACAAATATCATCACAACTCCCCAAGAAATCCAGAAGCTGTATTGCTGCCCACGTTATACCCTGAGAGATGCCTATTTCACTTGTGAGCATACACGGGTTAGTTACAAGTGTAACACTTTCTCTTAGATCTATTAGAGGTAAACAGTTTTTTTTTTCTTGTCTTTTCTCTCTCTCTTTTTTATGAGATCTATTAGAGATCTTTTTTATGAGATCTATTAGAGGTAAACAGTTTTTTTTTTCTTCTCTTTTCTCTCTCTCTTTTTTATGATTTTGGAAGCAACTACGTATATATGATCCAACACATGTAGAGTAAAACAGATGTCTAGTGATATAAACTCTTATAGTTGTGATGGCAAAACTTACTTTATTTTCTTTGAATGTTTGGGTATTAACACTGCCAAAAAAACTTACAATTTTGGTCAGGGGTCAAGTCCTGGGGAAAAAAGTGTGGGAACTCACCCAAGATTCCCACCTCCCCCCCCCTTAAAAAATAAAATAAAATACAAATTACACTCCTATGCATATAGTGCAGTGCGTGTATAATGAATGTAGTGTGTTTGTAGTGAATACAGTGTGAATAATAATTGTAGTGTATTTGTAGTGAGTGCAGAGTGTGTATAATGAATGCAGTGTGTTTTTAGTGAGTGCAGAGTGTGTATAATGAATGCAGTGTATTTGTAGTGAGTGCAGTGTGTATAATAAATGTAGTGTATTTGTAGTGAGTGCAGTGTGTATAATAAACGTAGTGTATTTGTAGTGCGTGCAGTGTGTATAATAAATGTAGTGTATTTGTAGTGAGTGCAGTGTGTATAGTGAATGTAGTGTTTTTGTAGTGAGTGCAGAGTGTGTATAATGAATGCAGAGTGTGCATAATAAATTTAGTGTGTTTGTAGTGAGTGCAGAGAGTGTACAATGAATGCAGTGTATGTAGTGTGTTTGTAGTGAATGCAGAGTATGTATAGTGAATGTAGTGTGTAGTGAGTGCAGAATGTGCATAATGAATGCAGAGGGTGTATAGTGAATGTAGTGTGTTTGTAGTGAGTGAAGAGTGTGTATAATGAATGCAGTGTGTGCGTGTGCTGGATGTTGTGTGTGTGCGCGCTGGATGACGTGTGTGTGAGTGCTGGATGATGGGTGTGTGTGTGTGCTGGATGATGGGTGTGTGTGTGCGTGCTGGATGATGGGTGTGTGTGTGCGTGCTGGATGATGGGTGTGTGCGTGCTGGATGATGTGGGTGTGTATGCGTGCTGGATGATGGGTGTGTGTGTGCTGGATGATGTGTGTGTGTTGGATGATGGGTGTGTGTGAGTGCTGGATGATGGGTGTGTGTGTGTGCTGGATGATGGGTGTGTGAATGCTGGATGATGGGTCTGTATGTGCTGGATGATGTGTGTGTGAGTGCTGGATGATGTGTGTGTGAGTGCGTGCTGGATGATGTGTATGTGAGTGTGTGTGTGCTGGATGATGGTGTGTGAGTGCTGGATGATGTGTGTGTGAGTGCTGGATGATGTGTGTGTGTGTGCTGGATGATGTGTGTGTGTGTGTGTGCTGGATGATGTGTGTGTGAGTGCTGGATGATGTGTGTGTGTGTGAGTGCTGGATGATGTGTGTGTGTGTGAGTGCTGGATGATGGGTGTGTGAGTGCGTGCTGGATGATGTGTGTGAGAGTGTGAGTGCTGGATGATGTGTGTGTGGGGGGGGGGGAAAGCATTTTTTTACTTTATGTATAATATTTATTTTATTCCCCCCCTCCCTGCTTCTTACCTTGCCAGGGAGGGGGGAGATCGCCTGGTGGTCCGGTGGTATGCTGGAGGGAGCCAGCCGCTGCACAGAGGGGCCATCACACGCTGTGTTCCCTCTCCAGCTCTAACTCTCGCGAGAGTCGCCTGTGCGGAGTGTTGCCATGGTAACAGCCGCGGGTCTCGCGAGAGTTATAGCTGGAGAGGGAACACAGCATGTGATGGCCCCTCTGTGCAGGTAGCAGGGCCGGTCCTGCAGTACAGGTAACGGGAACGGCGTTCCTGCTTTAGAAAAAGTGCAGGAACGCCGTTCCCATGCGTTCCTGCAGGACTCGAGCCCTGATTTTGGTGCAACTTGAAAGAAGTCACACAGATGTTTTCTTTCTACAAGATAAACATTATAGGGAAGGCTCTGCCAGAGCTTGCGACCTAAGCGGATTGCATAAGCTTATTATAGCAACTATTATAAAAGCAAATCCCGAGGGTGGCCATTTGATTTTCCTATAATATTGCTTTTTATTTGATGGCTCTTAAAACCAGCCATCTTAAAATAATGACTGATTGATAAAAAAAAAAAAAACTTTACATTCGCTAACCTCTATGCCTCCAATGAAAGCCAAGTACCCTTCAAGCATGTCTGAATAAATAAAGCTCTTTGCAAAAGACCTAGTAGTGGTGATGGTGAGGAGGGGACGGACTGAAACATAAAATTCGAAAGGGAGACTGATAGCACCTTGACAGGTAGAGACTCATTGAGACGCCAACAATTATTTAAAAAATAGTTATATAAAATGAGTAAATTGATTGTTGGCGTATCTTATACCCAACAGGTAGAAACTATTCCTAATACTGCGAATTGTTATACTAGATTGGATATATTTTTTCTTATACATAGACATCGACACTTATTTGAGAATGCCTCAGTAGGGAATAGAGACACTCTCTCTTCATGACTCATAAAATTTACCCTGCAATGGTGTCTCAATGAGTCACTCCTGGATGATTCTACGTGACGGAGAATATCTGCCTCTCAAACCATTATTTTGAGGCAAATAGCAAAGGTGAAACTAGTAACTCTTGGGTGTGGGAAGCCCACAAAAGTGTTGTCAGGGGGATCCTTATTAAATGGGGTTCTCGGATTAAAAGGGAACTGATTTTTAAAATACATGAAATTACAAGTGCCATAGATAAAGAGATGGCCCAGAAACGCGTTCCATCACCTGAGGTATTTAAACCTTGCAGCTCTGAGAGTTGAATTGCATTCCTTGCTTTATATTGATGCCTATAGAACAATCCAGCTTATAAGCAGCACCTTTTACTCTTATGGCAACATGAGTGGTACGTTTTTAGCCAAAGCACTTAAGAAACAAGCATGACACAGCTAAATTAAAAAGATCTGATATTATGTACATGTGGCAATGGCTCTGATTAAAATACCTTACTTCAACAATTAAGAGGTGAGTCCCAATAAATATATATATATAGTCTGGATTAATAAAGTTGAATATCCATTCCCTTATGAAACTAGGATATATACAAAACCTGGTTTAGGTGTGCTACTATACGGAAAGAGTGTCCTGAAAATGAAGATGGGTTATAGCCTAATGTCAACAATATACTTATATATAACACAAACCTTTGTGTTAAAGGTTTACCATGAATGGTCAACAAAGGAGAATTTGGGACTCTATTTGGCAAGGAATTATTAAGCTGTATTAATACGGTTACTGGACACCATTTATTATTAGTTGGGTAGTAAGGGATTTCTACAGGAGGACCTAATTGACTAGTTTTAGTTTGTTTAATGGACAGTATAAAGTGATCTTTCTTTTTCATTAGATCACTGACTTTGAGACATTTATTGGGGTCTGTTATTCGTGATATGGTGAATTCTCTGGATATCAAGAATCTGTAAAAAGCCAAATAAGTGACTCCTTTGATGACAGTGTTTGTATTTTGTTCAACTGGTGCTGTATCTAATAAATCCAAAATAGCTCTGAACTTGTGATCGTCTATAGGTAGTCTTTTGGTGCATTTATGACTTTTAAGACGTTGTATGCCCTTCAGCACACTTTTTACTGGGTAGGAGTTTAGAAATTGTTAACTATTGGGGTATGAAATAAACATGAAATGTTGTATACCTGTTTGATATAATCTAATAGTGTTATATGCTAGGTTTAAGGAAAGATGGCAAAAAAGTGGTAAATGCTACAATGATCTCAATTGAAAAAGCGTTTATTACATTATATTCAGACAAATTTAGAAAATAACTTGTACACTCTGTTGTAAGATTTCTTAGTATTTTCAGACAAACCTGCCTGAGCTACAATTTTACTTTGAGAAATTAGCCATTTCAGTCTGTGGTAAGATCCTTGAACTGAGGCGAATCTATGGAATCTAGATTTGCCATGGAATGCCATTGGAAGAAGTCCTGAAAATTAGATTGTGAGAGGGCATCAGCTGCTTTGTTATGAACACCAGGCACATGAAAACATTCCAGAAAGAATTGTACGTTAGCTGCTAACCAGGTAAGTTTCCTGATCAGCTTCATTATTGTAAGTGACTGGGAACAGCCTTTGTTAATAATGTGTCATGCTGCTATATTATCTGAGAAACATTTTACAGCTTGCCCTTCACAATTATGACCCCAAATGAAAACAGCAACAACTATAGGATAAACCTCAAAAAGGGCTGATGATTTTGGAAATTTTGTCATTTGGAAGTTTTGAGCAGCCATTTTTCATGAAACCACTCATCACCAAAAACAGCTGCGTAGCCGATTGTACTTACAGCCTCTGTCCATATTACTGTAGAGTTGTTGTAAATGTAGGGAATAAATAATTACCTACCATTCCAGGAAGAGAGATAAAATTGCCACATTGACAAATCAGCTCTGGCCTTATTATATAGAGATATATGTTCCTGTGTGTCCATTTGTATTACGTGTCTGTTAGTCCACCCATTGTACAGTGCTACAGAATTTGCTGTCGCTATGTAAATAATAAAATAATAATAAATGAACGGCCTTAAGGAATAACCCTCATTGCGAAATTGAGAGAACCTAAGAGTGACTGCAATTCTTTCCTGGTACAGGAGCCTTGATTTAAACAAACATTAATGTTATAAAGAATCCTTTATATTTTTTACCTTGGCCAACATGTTTGCATAGTGCCTGAATTAAAATTGATTCCTAAAAAAATTATATCTTTACTGGGGCCTTCTGTTTTCTCAGTTGTGACAGGCATCCCATAGCTGTTGACTAATTTGAGAATATTTTTCATACTGATGAGTGGGGAGTTACCATTTTCCACTGTAAGAAAATTGTCCAAGTAGTGGATTACAACTGGACACCTGCACTTGTTTAGAAGAAGCCAGCATAATGTTCCAGCAAATATTTTAAAAAGTTTAGGGCTGCTTTTAGAGACGAATGTGAGTTTAGTCGGGAAGTAATATTTCTCGCCACTTGACACCATGCAAGTGCCACAGCGATGGGTGAACGGAAAGCTATTTAAACGCATTGAAGATATCTGTTTTGCTCAACCATGCACCCCTTCCTGTATCAAGAATGGCATTGATAGCGTAACTGAGTAGAATACTGGAGAGAGAAATCTTCTGAGGGGATGAGTGAGTACAAGCTAGGCATAGATGAAAAATTAGGAGCTGAGAAGTCAATAATTAAGCTTTTTTTTATTATTACATTTTCCAGTAGCTATGCTTAGTGGACTAGTTCTCCAGCATGCAAAGAGGGGGTGGGGCTGGTTGAAGGATCAAATCATGAAACCAGTATCGAGTTCTTTGTAAAAAAGCATTTGAATTATCTTGGTGTCATGATTAGCTGATTGCAAGTTGGGGCATTCACATATACCAAAGGGAAGAGACACAAAACCTCTATGAAAACATGATGAAAAACCTGTACATAGGAAATCCACTAAATGGGTGGATGGGTGGTTAGCCAGATACACATACAAAACATCCACTTTAACTGGTGATAGTCATTGCTTAGGAAATAATTTATTTAGGCACATAGTTTTCACGTGGGCCTAAACACAAGAAACAATCATGCATGAGTCTGCAAGCACTAAATTTACAGCCTCTTGCATTAAAGTCGTTAAAAACTTGTGATTTTCCTAAAAACACAACAGGTAGGTTGGCAGGTGTGCTGGATAAACCAGTTTGAGACCTGTTGGTGGAGGTCGAATTCATCTGGGCACAAGTTAGTAGAATGCGTAGCAGAAGCACAGAATGCCCTTACTGGAGTCTTAAGCCCGGCGAAATGTCAAAATAGTTCGGTATCGAGTTGACTACAGTCTGTGTGTATATTAAATTGAGCTGATGTCGCTGTTTCTTTTGCTGAAAAAGATTTGTGGTAATCAAAAAATCCAACTACCGTACTTGTGCCCAAGGTCAACAGGTTTATGCATATATAAGTCAAACTCCTTCCTGTGATGAGGATGACTGGACCATATTACATTTCTATAAAGCCAGAAGACCAAGACAAATTCTGGGGTTATTAGTTTTTTATTTAGTCTGGGGTGTCTGGTTTTTATTACAACTGAGATATCCCCAAACGAACAGGACCTATTCTCAATAATGTCCTGGGATGCAATCAACAAGGATATTAGGTTAACATCCTTACCATCTAATATATTCTTCCTTAAATTCAAAGGTACTAAAAGGGCAGGATTATTAATATATTGCTAGGTGTAGAAACCTGGGGTTGAGGAAGGTTGACATTACTGGGAGAAATTAAGTCAGGATGGACAACAAGTAGACGGATGTCTGCATTTGCAGCTGGGTTATTACGAATAGCTGCTTCCATAGTTTCAAACCTGCGATTCATGTTGTCCATGGACACCACTAATGAGATCATACTCCTCAATTCTCATCAGTAGGGCCAGGTCACTCTGTGTCATTACTTGCTTTTAGCAAAC